CTCTTTGGGGAGCGGAGGGAGGAAGGGGGAGGGGACTGGTGGGGGCTGGGGTATCAGGGAGAATGGATTGACATGTGAAATTATAATTTTGTAAAAGAAATAATAATAAAAATGTAAAAAAAAAGAGAATGTTTCCCCTTAAAACTTCAATGTATCACAAATGTCATATATTGCTGGTCAATGTTACAACTTATTTTAGTCTGCACTGAAATCTTATGTAAAAGGAGAGAATCTGAGACCTTATGTAGTTTCCAACACTATATTGGAAAGTAATTGAGAAGAATGAAAATTATCTTCCTGCTTCTAAATTTTGTATAAACTGTAATTCTTTTCATATATTCCTTGTTTTGAGTCTCATTCATTTCTGGAAATTCATTTAGAGTCTAGGAACACCTTCATTAATTACAAAAAGAAGCAATAGCTACTCTGGCAAAACCTGCTCTTCCCTAGTGGAATGGACATTTTTCATTACTTCTTAATGGTTTGTTGAAAGGATTACCTGTCTATCATTTTTATATTGCTGACAGAAATAGCTTCAGAATAATTTCTTTTGAAAATATTTCTCCTTTGTAAAGCTTAAACTTAATATCTTGAAAAATTAAATTACTGTCCTTCTACATTGACTAATTGGTATGTATTTTAATAGGATAAATGTAGGAATAGATTGGGGTTTATTTTAAGAAAACATACATTATCATCTAAATTTATGAAATGGATACTTGCAGGAAATGACCCCACATTTGAATAATTATCTGAAGGAATATTTTCTCAGCAATACTAATGGATAAAATAAATTTATTTTTCTACACAGTTAACTGTAAATATAAATATCTACCAAAAAATGATTATGCAGAACTATAATTTCTGCAATAATTGAGTATTCAAGTTATCCTATGGAAATAAAATTAGAAAGAGAAAGTAAAATCAATGGAAGACAGAAACAAAGGCAAGCAACAAGGTATGTAAAATAAGATTGTTTTTAATTTAAATAAAAATCAATTAAGAAAAGACATACTGGAAACACAAATGAAATAAGAGTGGGCAGTTTTCCATGATCTCTTATATATGGAATACCATATGTGTTTCCCTTTGCTAATATAACCATATAACATGATTAAAAAGATTTTAACTTCTTCAATACTGAATTCAAGCAATAATCAAAAATATAAGCATATTCTGTCTACCTCCAGCTTAGGAAGTCTGGTTTTAAAAGTGTATTTGGTGGACTGGACACTAGAGGTGGGCTGGGGGCAGGACAGAGGGGGAACTTAAGGAAAGACATTTCTTGGTGGTGGATGCATTTTGGGGTTAGGAAGAAAAGTGGTGCCAAAAAAACTCCTAGGAATCCACAAGGATGACCCCAGCTAAGACTCCTAGCAATAGTGTAGAGGGTGTCTGAACTGGCCTTTTCCTGTAATCAGATTGGTGACTAGCTAATTGTCATCACAGAGCCTTCATCCAGTAACTGATAGAAGCAGATGCAGAGATCCACAGCCAAGCAATGGGCAGAGTCCTGTAGTCCTCCTGGAGAAAAAGAGAAACGATTGTATGAGCCAGGGGGTTCAAGTTCATGCTGGGGAATCCATAGAGACAAGTGACTTGAGCTCCTAGTAGTACTTTGACTCTGCACCAACAGTCAGGGAGCCTGCATGGGACTAACAGTTGTGTAGCTTGGTCTGTTTGTAAGGCTCCTAGCAGTAAGATAAGGACCTGTCCCTGAGCTTAGCTCACCATGCTGTTTCCCCATGCTGGATTACCTTTCCAAGCATTTACGCAGGGGGAGGAGTTCAGTCCTACCTCAGCTTGATGTGGCATGCTTTGTTCAAGCCAATGGTAGGTGTGCCCTTCTCTGAATGGAGATGGAGAACGGGTGGGTGGAGAGGGGGATAGATGTGAGTTGGGGGAGGTGGAGGGATCAGGAGGAGAGGAGGGAGGGGAAACCATGGCTAGTATGTAAAATAAATGAAAAACCATGTTAATAAAATGAAATAAAAATGTATTTAAATATTGGTTTGTGAGGAAACTATAGCTGGGAAATTTACCACAGATTTATGATGTTGTGGAAGGTATTTTTATCCAATATTTAAAATCTTTAATTCAAGAACAGTATGATTTTTTATCTTTCCTATTGGTATCAGTGTTATTGTTCCATAGGATGTAAGGAGCATATTTTTGTATTTGTTTATCTGCAAATATCCTAAGTAGGCCAATTAAAAATAAAGAATTTATGATGACTGGGCCATTGGCTCAGCAGTCAAAGGTACTTACTTGTTGCTTTTGCAGAGGACTGAAGTTCATTTATCAGCACCCACCAGGTTTCTCACAATGATTGGAACTCCAGTTCATGAGATTAACATCCTCTTCTGACTTACTCAGGTACCAGAGCCACATGTTGATAGGAGATGTCATTCTGTAAATATGTTCATCTTACTGGTTGATGAATAAAATACTGTACCCAATAGGGCAACAAGATAGGTAGATCTAGGAGATAAGAAGAATTCTGAGAGGTGTAGGAAGAGCACAATCACCATGGAGGATGCCAGAGGAGTTACAGGCCTCCGGACCTTTCTCCAGTAACATAAGACCACGATGAAATACTTAGATTAATAGAAATGGGTTAGTAATTAAGAAGAGGTAGCCAATAATAAACCCTAGCTATTGGCTAATAGTTTCATAATTAATATAAGTCTCTGAGTGTTCATTTGTGGCTGAAGTAGTTGTGGGGCCAGGCTGGCGGGAAAGAATTATCCTAACAACACATGATGCATGTACCCACATGAGGACAAAAGGCTCAGACACATGAAGTAGAATAAAAATTAATAATCACTGGGTGTATCAGCCACATATTAGAGCAGGCTTCATGCCCAGAAGTAATCCACCAACACAAAAGTAATTACTCCCACCAGCAATGGAGGAGAGTTCGTCTTTCTCCACATCCTCTCCAGCATAGACTGTCATTGATGTTATTGATTTTAGCCAATCTGACAGGAGTAAGATGGTATCTCAGAATTGTTTTGATTTGCATTTCCCTGATGTCTAAGGATGTTGAACACTTCCTCAAGTGTCTTTTAACCATTTTGGATTTCTCTGTTGAGAATTCTCTATTTGGTTCTGCACTCCAACTTTTAATTGTATTGTTTGGTGCTTTGGTGGCTAGCTTCTTAAGTTAATTGTATATTTTGGTAATCAGCCATCTGTCAGATGTGGGGGTGGAGAATATCTTTTCCCATTTTGTGTGCTGGTGTTTGGTCTTGCTGACTGTGTCCTTTGCCTTACAGAAGCTTCTCAGTTTCAGGAGGTCAGATTTATTAATTTTCGATCTCAATGTTTATGCTACTGGTGTTACTGGTAGTCTCCTGTACCAATTTGTTCAAGCGTACCACCTAGCTTCTCTTCTAGGATGTTCACTGTGACTGAATTTATGTTGAGGTCTTTGATCCATTTGGACTTAAATATTGTGCACAGCAATGTATATAGATCTATCTGCAATCTTCCACATGTCCAAATCCAGTATGCCAACACCATTTGTTAAAGATGCTTTTTTTTCCCCATTGTATAACTTTAGCTTCTTTGTCAAAAATCAGGTGTTCATAGGTGTGAGGGTTAATATCAGGGTTTTCAATTCAATTCATTGGTCAACCTGTCTATTTTTGTGCCAATACGAAGCTGTTTTCAGGACTGTGGCTCTATAATAGAGCTTGAAGTCAAGGAAGGATGCTGCCTCCAGAAGTTCCTTTATTGTACAGGGTTGTTTTGATTATCCTGGGTTATTATTTTTCTATATAAAATTGAGTACTGTTCCTTCAAGGTCTTTGAATAATTGTTTTGGGATTTAGATGAGAATTGCATTGAATCTGTAGATTGCTTTTGGCAAGATTGCCATTTTTACTATGTTGATCCTACCTATCCAAGAGCATGGGAGATCTTTCCATTTCCTGGTATAATTTTTAATTTCTTTCTTTAAAGACTCAAAGTTCTTCTATACAGGTCTTTCTCGTTTTTTGGTTAGTGTTACCCCAAGATATATTATGTTGTTAGTTGTTATTGTAAAGGGTGATGTTTCTCTGACTTATTTCTCAGCACATTTATCTTTATATAATAGGGCTACTGATTTTTTGAGTTAATCTTGTATCCTGCCAATTTGCTGAAGGTGTTTATCACCTGGAGGAGTTCCCTGGTAGAGTTTTGGGGATCACTAATATAAACTATCATATCATCTGCAAATAGTGAACGTTTGACTTCTTTCTTTCCAATTTGTATCCCCTTGATCTCCTCTTGTCGCCTTATTGCTATGTCTAGGACTTCAAGTACAATATTGAAGAGATGTGGAGAGAGTGTACAGCCTTGTCTTGTTTCAGATTTTAGAGGAATTCCTTTGAGTTTCTCTCCATTTAGTTTGATGTTGGCTGTTGGTTTGCTCTATATTGCTTTTATCATGTTTATGTATTCCTCCATTGCTGGTGGGATTGCAAACTTGTACAACCACTTTGGAAAGCAGTATGGTAGTTTCTCAGGAAAATGGGAATCAGTCTACCTCAAGATTCAGCATATTCCTCTCTTGGGCATATACCCAAATAATTCACACTCATACAATAAGGACATATGTTCAACTATGTTCATAGCAGCATTATTTGTAATAGCCAGAGCCTGAAACTAACCTAGATGCCTCTCAACTGAAGAATGGATAGAGAAATTGTGGTACATTTGCACAATGGAGTACTACGCAGCAGAAAAAAATAACTGCATCTTGAAATTAGCAGGCAAATGGATGGAACTAGAAGAAACCATCCTGAGTGAGGGAACCCAATTACAAAAAGAAAAACATAGTATGTACACAGTCATTTTTTGATTTTTAGACATAGTACAAAGGATCACTAGTCTACAATCACCACTGCCAGAGGAGGTAGGAAACAAGGAGGTCCCCAAGAGAAGATTTCATAGTCCCTCGAAGAAGGGGATATGGACAAGACCCCCTGACCAAATTGGGAGCCCGGGGCCAGGGAGAGGAAGAAGAGTCTTCATCCTGTTGATGTTCGAAGCAGAAACAGACACTCACAGCTAAGCACTGAGCCCTACTACTGGAATTCAGTTGTGGAGAGGTAGGAGGGATGATCAAAGGAGCCAAGACAGGGCTGGAGAGACCTGCAGAAACATTGGACCTGACCTACTGATAGCATGGAGACCCTAGTCATAAAGCTGGAGAAATAACATTGGAACAAACCTATCCATCTGAATGTGGGTGCCAGCTAGGAGGCCAAGACAGACTATGGGACCTCTAACAGTAGAGCCAGTTTTTATCCCTAGAGCACAATGGACTTTGGTAGCCCATTCCCTATGGAGGGATACTATTGCAGCCCAGATACAGCAAGGAGGACCTAGGCCCTCCCCTAAATAATATGACAGACTTTGAAGGTCCCTGGTGGGAGGCCTCACTATCCCTGGGGAAGAGATGGGGGTGGCTTGGAGGGGATTAGGGGGACATGGGAGAATGGGATGTCGAGGGAATGGAAGGGATGGATATGTAAATATGAGTAGTAATTACAGAATTTAAATTATAAAAGTAATTACATGATTTTTTGCTGTTATTGCTACTTTTGTGGACTTTTTGATTTGGTATTTTCTGTCTTATTGTTCCTTTGATTTGTTTTTTTTTTTATTTGTTGTATGTTACTCTTTTTTGAAAGAGAAAAAGAGAAAAATTGGAAGAGTATGGAAGTGGGAAGAATACAGGGGAATTAGCGGAAATGGAGCAATCAAATATATGTTGCATGCAAAAATTTAATATATGTAGTAAATTTTTTTTAAAAAATATCTAAAAGGAATGTATTATTGTGCCAAATGCCATCCCACTTCCAATATGTAGCTATTGTTTTTCTATTTTGGTATGAATCTCTTCTTGGGGATTAACTAAGTGAGTCCACATGGTGAAATTAATTTTTTTATTGATTTTAGATATCCACTTTAATGTTGAATCAAAAAAGCACAGAGAGGAAAGGAAAAATGTCTTCATCATAGCTGCTAAGGGTCAATGTCTGGTTGAACAAAAAAATTACTTCCTTCTAATAAAGAAACCAGGTTAAGAAAATGGAAAGAAAACCTCATTTTATTGTTTTAAAAAATGTTATCAAACAGCTGTATTTGTTTCTATATATAGACTTAATTCAAGACACTTTTTCCTTTTTTTCCTTTTGGCTTTTTGAGAAAGAGTTTCTCTGTGTAGCTTTGGAGCCTATCCTGGCTGTCCTGAAACTAGCTCTTGTAGACCAGGGTGGCCTCTAACTCACAGAGATCCACCTGCCTCTGCCTCTGCCGCTCCAGTGCTGGGATTAAAGGTGTGTGCCACCAACTCCCGAGAGACACTTTTTCCTTTTATTTTGCAATATTGCACAGCTAAGGTTCAGAAAAAAGTTCAAATATATTGGAAATACACAGTCCATATTTAGTCTCCCATCTATTTGGCTATTTATTTTTTAAAACCTGTATATTAAAAATAAAATATAATATTTTAAACAAAAGAAAATTATAGTTGGAATGAACCTACTTAAATTTAACATGGTCACTTGCTAAACCATTAGACATAGATTCTTCAAAATGAAAATAAAAGGAAAAATAATATCTAATATGAAAGCTTAAGGAGCACTTGATATATGTCAAGTGAAGTTTTCAGACTCACTTGAGTCGTGCACTTGTATGTGCATTGCATCAGACAAGGGCCACTCTCAAGTGATCCTTTTCTCTCCAAACTACAGAGGATAATTTGTTTACTAATGACAAACTGAAAATAGGGAAAAATATGAGTTTTCTAATAAGACAAACCAGACAAAACAGTCTGGGGGTTTTCCAAAGAATGGGCTGTGTGAGAACTATGCTTTAAATGACACTTCCTAGTGATGAAACAGAAAAACTAATTTAATCATGATGTGAAATACAGAAACAAGTGCCAGAGGAAGGAAATGCTTTCCAGGAAATGAGTTTATTTTGCCTCTCTATAGTTACTGTTTTGTGTCTGAACATCCTGAGAAAGTTCATGCTTAAGGGACGAGAGGCCAATACAGGTACAGGAAGCCGGAATCAAGAGAGTGGGAGGATTAAAGGATATGAGGGGTGGAAAGGCATGATGGTATTAACTTGGGTATGAATGTTAGGAGAATCCTAGGTCTCCATCAGTTTGTCCTGCTTGTTGAATATGGTGGGGGGGAAGCATTAGGGGTGATGCAGAGATTGTGGGAGTGGCCAACCAATGACTGTTCCAACCTCAGACTTATACCTTACCCCTGACACTGCCTGTTATGCCAGGACCTAGAGGTTGGGTGGCCCAGAAAACTAGGTTAGACCCAAACACAATTGGAGAAAAAAAATGGTCAACATATTGATGCCTAATGATATTCTGCTAAACTCATAGAT